GGGTTTAGGGGTTTGGGTGGGGTTTAGGGGTTTGGGACTTAGGGTTTAAAGGTTTAGGGTTTAGGGATCAGGGAGTTTTCGGGTTTAGGGTGCGGTTTCTCCGTGTCTTCGGTGCGAACTCGCGTTGATATCCCGACAGCATCTCAGGAGGCCTGGCGGCAAAAGGGCGCGGTCTCAGTTTCGGAACAGTAATCACAGGGGCCTCAATATTTACCTATATTATTTTAAGGGTTTCCTTATTCTAATTATAGTATAATAGGCCCCAGAACCCTATTCTAATTCTTAAGGCCCCTATATTATTCATAGAGCCGTGGAGGTCACGATCTTTTAGGGGGCACAGTTATTGTGAAGGCACGGTAAAGCTGCCGTTGCTGGTAGCGTGGGTCAAAAATCCGACAACCTGAGTTACTAAGCACGCTCAAAGCCACGAACCTTTCATCTACCACCATGATAGAGCCCAAAGACCCATGTACTTACTGATGCAAGTAATGATCCTGCCTCGACGTTCACCAGGACCATCAGGCCACTAGAAACGGGGGTTTCCAAAAATAGGGGACCCTAATATAGCACCCAAACTAACAGGATCCTTATTATAAGGACCCCAAAATAAGGTACCCCGTAATTTCGGAAACTCCCAAATTAGTACAAGAAGCCGCCGGAGATCGGTGTACTTAAAGGATCATGGGACTTAGTAAGTAGGTTATAATTAGGGTAACTATACCTATAACCCCAATTAAGGGACTTATAACCTTACTTACTAAGTCCCATGATCCTCCAAGTATGCACTGCAAAACCACGCTTAAGGCCCCTATTATTAGCCCTGTCAGCACGCATGACAGGTGAGGCTGCAGAGTAGCGACCCCCACGTGCCGCCTCTGGTGGACTTGAACTTCCTGGCTGAGAAGGCCCATTAGTCTGTCTGGTGCTCAGAAGGGAACGGGGGAATGGGTTATAGGGACTACTACTAGGGACCTTAAGGGACCATCATGGGGATCCGTTGCCCCATTCCCTACTAAGCACCAGACAGATTAGTAGCTGAGAGGACACTTTACACTTTTCGGGATACTATGATCCCTTATAGAACTGAAAGTGTACACTTCTCGGGATACTATGACCCCTTATAGAGCTGAAAGTGTACACTTTTCGGGATACTATGACCCCTTATAGAACTGAAAGTGTACCCTTTTCGGGCTTTCAGCCAATGGATCCCCATGATAGTCCCTTAAGGTCCCTTGTAGTAGTCCCTATAACCCATTCCCCCATTCCCTACAAAGCACCAGACAGATGAGACTCGCAAGGGCTCACAGGTTCCCCTGCTTGGGGAGTTCGGAGAGGATCGCGAAAGCTGTGCAACAGATGGGATGAGTCCCTCGTAGTTTTAGGGTTGAGGGTTTAGGGTTTAGGGGTGCATGGCCTCATGGTTTGTCAATCTGTCATGGCTTGAAACCGGTGCTTGTTGCAACCTGAGAGGCAGACGTGGACACATTGGTTGAGGCCTATCGCATGGCTCGCACCTCGTCAGAGGTTTTCCCGGTGTGCTGGATTTTTCTTGAGGCTATGAGCCCTCAAGTCTAATCCCTAACACCTAGTCAAGAGTTTATGCCCAAAACAGAGACGAGCCAAGATTGGACGTGCTCTTGTCCCAAGCGAGGGTATACCCCTTCTGCGGATGAACGGCCTGAATTATTGAAGTCTACTTTTGAGGAGTTTCTCTAGGGTTGGAGCTGAATGATGTTAGACCAAGTAGTGGGAAATAGTGTCCGGCAATGTTGCGCTGCAACGTAGCACAGCTTTATCGGGAGTGCTGACGAACAGGTGGACGAACTGTGCATCGAGGCTCCTATACTTAACTCATAGACAGTGCATGTGCGATGTGATGTGGCACACACGCTGTGCAGCGTCATGTGTGCCGTAGTTGCCAGTATATACACGCTATCCAACTCTGAACAGATGCTTGTACGACATCTCCACAGGCAAAGAGAACGATGACGTCAATTGTCGTTTTTATGTGGTAACGAAGGTATTGTAGCCATCATGGTGATGGTGGCCATGATTTGCATCGCCACTGCCGCATGGGCATATGTTGCTTTGGGCGCTGCATGCTCCAAACGTTATGTCTGGGAGGTTGTTTAGAAGCTTACATTAGTCAAACACGAGTCCTGGCCTTTGCGCCAAACATGTGCTCCACACGGAACCTTACACTGCGCCTCTTTGCATCACTTCACTGGCCCTGGTTTCAACAGTCGACGAGGGTATGAACTTAGACTAAGCTTACAGCCATGATGGGCTTCAATGTGACCCTCAAAGCTGAGGAAGTGTTGCAGAACAGCCATCAATGAAGCCGTACATCAACTTCGATGCCGCTAGGAAGCACGTCGAGGCTAGAAGTTTGAAGGGCGTAATATGGCCGTAATAAGGGCTTATTATGGCCATAACAAGGGCTTAATCGGGCCATAATCAGGGCCTAATAGTAAAACAGGGCTTGGGAAAGAAACGGCTCGGCGTTTAGCCCTAAACCCCTTTATAGGGTTTAGGGTTTATAGGGTTTAGGGTTTAGGGTTATGGTCGCTATGGTGGTGAGTCGAGGCTTGCAGGTAAGAGGGTTAGAGGGACTTGCGAAGTCAGAGTGAAAGCATGTAAGATGGAGCCTAAACCCTAAACCCGAAACCCCATGGTAATAATCTCATAGCCCGTATACCCTAAACCCTAAACCCTAATAGCCCCTATACAGCTATGCTGCCCAAGATACCCCAAGATCCTTTTCGACTCAAACAGGCCTCTATTTTATGGGTAGTTCTCTAACTTACGGTCCCTTTTTTAGGCCCCAGAGAAAGAAGACGTACAAAAAGGGTGTCTAAGGGGGGCCCTAGCTTAGAGAACTACCCCTATGGGAAATTCTCTAAATTAGGGACCCTTTTAGGGTCGCTCTTATAAGGGTGTCGTACTAGTTTGGGGAGCCGAAAAAGACCCTACTTTGGAGAACTACATATGGGTGGTTGTCGAAATTATGGTCCCTTTTTGGGTCCTTATTATAATACGGCACCTATTATTTAGGGTACCCCAAAAGGGACCCTACTTTGGAGAACTACCCATCTGAGGTGCCCAGTTCACAGAGTTTTTCGGCTTCAGCAAAGGCTTGAGGTCCCAGGCTTCCGGATGACTGTCGAACCTGCTTTGGGGGCCCCGGGTGTTTTGAGGGCTTTATAGGGGTTTAAGGTTTAGAGTTAAGGGTCTATAGGGTTTAGGGTTGAGGGTTTAGGGTCTATAGGGTTTGGGGCTTTGGGTTTAGGATGTGTTCAAGTTTTAGGGTTTAAAGTGCCCCAAACCTTAAACTTAAAAAACGCCTCCAGAAGTGTTAGTGCTGGGGAACTGGATGGGTTTTCAGTGTAGGAACTCTTGTTATTGTAGAGATCATTTGAGTACTTCGCTTATTTCAGGTGGCTCTTCCGATGCCGGACCCATCGAGCCCGGACGAAGAGATTGCAGAGTTCGTGCGGGCAAAGGCAACTTGGTGCGGGGGACGGTGGGTGCGGTTAGGGACGGTTAGAGGCAGGGTGCAGGGCTGGGTGGCAGAGCATGTTGCGATGTTCTTACGCCTGGCACGAGTATTCGTAATATCACCAGCAGCAAGGTTTCAAAGACGGCTTCTGCGTTTTCTATCACAGGTTGAATAGAATTCTTGGTAGCGGGGGCCTATAGTTGCAATGACCGAGTATCATGCTTAACGGTACTATCTTAATTGGACTAGTACACACTCGTTCAGGAAGAAGCTCGCATTATCGAAGTTCGACAGGTTCCACTAGCATTGACAAGTGTTGGTGTGGGTATGACTGCCATCGCTGCTACCACCATTGGTTCCGATGCTTTGCGTTACTGCGGGCAAGGCTGGTGTTGCTACTTGCCGCCACTTCAACTGCCACCACTCTGTGAAGCTCGCTGTCATGAGCAGGTAATTACTAGCAGCACCAATATCACGATTGCTCCTACTATCATCACACTTGTGCTGAGCACTGTGTGTTGTTCGAAGAATATTGTTCATTCCCGTGCCTGCTATGTTTGCGCGCGGTTGCGCTGCTGTTGCTGTTGTTGCTGCTGCTCTTGGTGGCGGTGATGATGATGATGATGATGATGTTGTTGATGATGATGATGATGATGATGATGGCGTTGATGATGAAGATGAAGGTGAAGATGAAGATGATGATGATGATGATGATGATGAGGAGGAGGAGGAGGACGACGATGCCGGTGGTTAGGTGGTGGTGGTGCTAGTAGGGGTGATGATTATTTAGTGGTCACATAGGCTACACTTACATGGTTCTCCTTAGGAGTGTGCGTGCATACTTGGTGAGCTCTTGGGTTCCGCGAAGACGACCGACACGACAGGCAGCAGAATCGAGAACTCCTGCCACAACTACTACCGTTCCCCACATCCACCATACCAAGAAGAACCACAGCAAATATAGGCGCCTACATAATTGCCAGTACTATTTTGAGGGTTCCTTATAATTCGACTATAATGTACCCCAATACCCTATTCTACTTATTAAGGCCCCTACATTACTCACTAGGCCTTCATCAGCCGACCAGGCCACCACTACATGGCACTACTCCTGCACTACACGCATGGGCCCAATCGGAGACAAGAGCTGTGTTTGCGATCCGGCTGGCCGTGTGCAAGGGGTGCAGCCACTCGGCAGCCTTGCCAGATTGTATATGATCGTAGCGTAGTAACCCTAAGCCCTGAACCCCTAAACCGATACATATATATGTATATGTACACTCTATATGTATATATATATATATATAAATATAATGTTCGACATTGAAGGACTTCGGATGACAAGGGGTCACCTTGGGCTGCTCTTGCTTTCTGGATAACGGTCCGCAGGTTGGGCTGGTGCCTCGTGCATGCTAAGCGTCTGGAGGCTGCGATTCCGAGTTCCCATGGCGACATACACCATTGCCATGTTACATTATACTTGGGTCTCTACTATATAACCATATATATATATATAGAGTCCTATTATATGATATTATATGTGGGTTTACGCTGTCTAGGGTCTTGGTGTTACGCCGGGCCACTAGCAGACCTCAGGCTACCTACCTCATCTCCACGAAGGCCATGCAAAATCAACAAGCACCCAGTACCTTAGTGGCTGAGTAGGTAACCTTTAACCTTTTGGGGCTCTTATAATCCTACTATAATTCAAAAGGTTAAACCTTTTTGGGGCTAGGGTACTCAGCCCCTAAGGCACAGAACCTTGAAGGCTGAACACCGAAGCCCCGGAATCCCCGTCAGCAAACTCTAATCCCGACATGGGGGTTTCCGAAAATAGGGGACCCTAATACAGTACCCCAAATAGTAGGATCCTTATTATATAATAAGGTACCCTGATTTTCGGAAACTCCCACATGTTGAGTTAAACCAGAGGCCTCCTCTTCATGTAAAGACGTCTACTCGAAGCCACACCTCCCTTCAAGAAGCTCGAACCCCAGCAGGTCGTCACAGGAGCCTTAAGTTTTTGCTATCTCTGCATGGCGCTGTTTCTGCCAACAGTGTTGCTAGTTCAGCTATCACCGCCGGTTCAACCGAGCATGTGGTACCAATATTTGCAGTCCTGCGAGTACTACTTCCACTACTATCAACACTGATTGCTCTTAGTAGCTCTTTACTTGCTACACTCATCATGTCATGCCTGCTGCCGCTGTGTTTGCAGTGATGGCCCAGTCAACCCTGAACCCCAAACATAAGCCCTTAAGCCCCTAAGCTCCTAAACCCAAAATCTTCAGCCCGAAAGCCTGAAACCCGACCATCGATGACTCCAAGGAGCCTTCGCGTCGCAGATGCTGGCATCATGCCCTTCGTGGTGAGCGGCAACACCAACGCGGCGAGCGTGCCTTGTTCGGGTGTACACGTATATATATATATATATGTATATATGTTCTATACTATACACCATTGCTATATTATTATACTTGGGTCTATAATATATCATCATGCGATGCTGTAACAGATTTGGGTTTAGGGTTTCGGGTGTTTGCGAATTGTTGGCGATCTCTTAGAGCTTGAACGGTTGTGGGGAGTCGGGATGTAGCCAGGCGAGAAACCGGACAAAAAGAAATGCCCTCTGTTGTTTGTGTCAGTCTGGATGTATCGAACCCGCTTGCAAAGCATTGGATACATTACCTTGGTACATTTAACGACGATGAAGCAGGACGGCTGTGTGAATACGAGGTATTGTTACAAGAGTAAACATGGAGCACACTTGCTTAACACCAAGCCGTAGTCACCTTCTCGGATACGGTTAAGTTCAGAACATAGCTCTTGTCTGTCCACTGCTCCAACAAGGTCATGATCGGCGATCGCGTGGGCTATCTGATTGCCTCGGACTTCGTGGCATCCACAAAGGACTTCGAACTTCCTCTGTCCAGCTTTGAACTTTACACTGCGTGGTAGCCACACAAACTCTCCATGTACAGACTGTACGTACATACATACATACATACATAAATCATACACCATACGTACATATGTACATACGTAAACATATTTGTGTGTATGTATATATGTGTATATATATACATGCATGCAGGTATGTATGTATGCTGTGCATGTATGTATGTATGTATGTATGTATGTATGTATGTATGTATGTAGGGTCTGGGATCGAGCGCAAGCGACAGCGCATTGCCTAGACCCCAAGTGCTTAGCGCACGATCTTGTGCGAGCCATTCCGCGCTCGCCAGCCTGGCACAGAAGGGCACGGGCCACTCGTGCTAAGGACCGCCTGGCTGTCCACCGGGCTCGACAGGCCGGCCTTTGTCCTGCACTCCGCCCCCTACGGCGTCTCGCAGCTCACCACAGTAAGCCACAGTATCGGGAACTGCGGCAGATGGGTGGTGGAAGGGCGAAATGGGCGCGAGAAGGAGACACGGGATGGTGGATGGCACTCCTCGCAGGAGTCATGGTCGTACAAGGGCAAGGGCAAGACCCAGAGTTACAACCAGCAGCCGGCGAGATGGAGAGACCAAGAACGCGACAAGAAGTCCAAGTTTCCTACCTTGGACATGATGGAGGCTGGCAGCTCTACGGCGAGTCGCTCCCAACCCCGTGCCAGCGACATGGACGTCGACGAGGAGAACCCCACCACGGGACAGCTGACCAAGGGCGTCCAGAAGCTCTTGAATACCATGCGAAGAGCGGAAGGACGCGCCAGAAAGCTCTCCGAGGAGAAGGAAGCCCTGCAGTACAAGTGGGACACCTTCCAGCAAGAGCTGAAGGACAGCTTTATCAAGGAGCGTGCCAGGTTCAGGGAGAGATCTGCGAAGATCATCGAGGAGATCGAGGAGGCCAACAGAGCCCAGGAGGAAGCCCTGGCGGACCTACAGATGACCCTGGACGAGCCCAAGCTGCTCCTCAAGCCCAAGAAGGACAAGGAGATCGACCAGGAGGCCCTGGACGAGCTGCAGAAGCTCCTCGCGGACAAGGAGGACGACGACCAGGGCTTTGCGGAGGTCCTCATGGGTGTGATGAAAGGGGGCGACCGAGACCGCGAAGCAACACGAAAGAGGCTGCTCAAGGCCATCGAGGACAAGCGCAGGCAAGGCACCGAGCCCCGCACACCAAGCAGGCGTCGTACTACTTATGCGCCAAGGACACCGCCGGGCAACAAAACTGCGGAGCCAACTCGGGTCGCGCAGGCCCCGGCCTTGGAGATGGAAGAGGCGGAGCAGGCGGTTCGCGACCCTTACATCGCGTCTCCGTCCCTGGTGAACACCTTGCCGGCAACAGCGACCACTACGAGGTCACGCTCCAGAATTTCACAGCGCATGCCAATCAAGTCCGTCGGCCGCACCCCCAAGAAGACCGTCCTGAAAGGAAGCCTTTCAGAGAAGCTGGAGGCAAAGCGGGCGGCGAAGGAGGGCATGGTCGACGTAGACGAGGAAGACTCCGACGAGGAAGTTCCCCTGGATGCGCTTGGGGGCCGGACAACGGCGGAGCCGCCCCCAAATGTGGAGTAGCATGGCAAGTGGCGGAAGCTACAAGCAAGGACGGCACCCTGCTGTCAGAGAAAGGAGGGCTTTTTCGGCACGTCCCTCTCACATATGACAACGTTCTACCTCCACGGGGCGGAGGTCACCTCATCCAGCACAGCTTTTTCGGCGAGTCTGTGCCAATTTTGGCTTTTGGTGGCTTCTACGCTACATGCCAGGATCACAAGGAGGTGGCATATCCAACATCGATGCCCCCCTTCCTTACCGGAACCTATGAGCCCAAGTCTGGGAATGGCTGCTCTGCAGAAAGGCCAGATACTTGGGTTAATTTTGATCTCCTGGATGTCATTGCACAGACATGGCGTACCATGGAGCCCCTCATCGCCAGCTGGCTGGCATGCTTGGGGAGTATGAGTACCGCATGGCTCCTCACTCTGAACTTCCTCACCCTTGTCTCAACTTGCTGTCTCTGCGTTGCAACAGCCCCCCTACCGCGGCGAGTTCGGCAAGTAACTAAGTTTGGCGGAGTGCCAGGCAGGTTTTGCTTGGCTTACATGGCCTTGTCTACGGTCACGCAGGCATCTGCCGGCAAGCCCCCAGCGCACAGCACTGTCGCTGGACAACGGCCGCCTGGCCAGACCCATCTGGAGCTTTGGGCGTCAGGCCAGCAGACAATGACCGAGCAGATGGCCTCAGCATGGGCGCGAGTGGTACTGGAACAGCCCCTGGACAGGATACCGGGGGAGGCAGAAATGCCGCGATGGACAGTGCCAATCATTGAAGCGGGCGACCTGGGAGAGCCACCTCCAATGGAGACCCTGGACCACCACGTGACCATCTGGGTGGCCGCTCCCTACTATGAGACCGAGGTGCTGGATGTTCGAGTACCGCTCCCCCTAAGGCTCTCCAGTCTCAAGGAGGCCATGGCGGGATCACTTTCAGTCATCCCCGACACCTTCAATCAATACTTTGAGACGGTGCCCCAGATCGACAGGCACTACGCGAGCTTTGTTGCCCTGCCCCAATGGATGGCGGAGACGAACAAGATGGTGTTGATCATGGACGCGCGTCCGATGGGGGGACAAGTCTACGCCTTCTACGTTGACTCCCTGGTCAACAGGCATGTTGTTGAGAACAACCTGCCGGTCTACGAGGAGGCGGACTATGACATCTACCTGTTTGGAAGGGAGCGACCACTCCCGCGAGGCCAAGCGGTACAGCCCATTCAAGGCGGAGTGGTTATGATTGTTCCCACGGGAGCAGTCTGCATGTGGGCTGATGACCTCCAGCAAAGGCTCCCACACCCCGAAAGGTGGCTCCCCAGCCCGGATCCTCCAGGATTACATCCCTCCCTTCACACGGTATACCAGTCTGCCGACGACCAGGTCATAGAGGAGATCGACGACCACAACTTCATGCCCCTCGAGGAGTCGCCCGCGGAAGCTCTTCTACTGGATCAAGAATGCCACGTATACCTCCCGGATGACCGGATTGAGCGCCTTACTCATGGAGGACGTCAGATATGGGAGCAGGTTGCAGTCGTTGAGCCCGACGAGGAGGAAGGAGGGCCCTACTTGATTGTCTTCCTCGACCTACGGCAGCTTGGTTTCTTCCCTCAGTGGGCCCAGCTGACCGTGCCTCGCTTCGACCCGCGGGAGTTTGTCGAAGGACTTCAGATGCAAGGGGTAGAGAACTGGATGGTGGCAGTAGTTGGCGGCGTCCCGCGCGACCGGGACCGCCTTGAAGTGCGACACCAGGAAACCCTGATCTTCAGTCTGCTCCCACCGGATGGTGCTCCGGAAGAGACTGAGATTGAGGAAGAGGGCGACGATGACAGCACAAGCACGTCCTCGAGCAGCTCCACTATGCGAGATCCTCTTCCTCATTCCAGTGACTTTAGCTCCGGACCCAACAGCCCAAGCGGACGCCCAAACGGACCTCCGCCCCCACAGCCAGTCAACCGGAGCCGCTCGCCAAGAAGACGATCAGGCGACCTCCAGGAGCACTATGTGGCTGAGAACGAGCGGGGCATGGCCACTGTCCGGCTCATTGAGCATGTCCACCCCCTGCAGTTTGACATCTCCAAGGAGACCGTCTTGATTCCGGGGGTACAAGAGAATGTCAGGACTATGATGCGGCCATGGTCACCCGAGTGGCTGCAACCTGATCTCAGCCAGTGTGACATGAAGCAGACCACCAAGGCGAGGCTGCAAGAAACGGTCCACTGGGTGGATATCCTAGGAGCCAAGGATCCTTTCTCCCTGCACATCTATACAGATGGCTCCTGGTTGGCACCAAGGAAGCTCGGTGGCTACGGAGTGGTGCTCCTTTTGATGACCACCACGGCCACTGCCCTGTTTGGAGTGCTAGGAGAGCAAACACAGGGGAACGGGCAATCCCCGTGGGACTTTGAGGGCCCCCCGGCGCTAAAGAATGAACAGCTGGCGATCGGAGCGGCTCTACTCTGGTTGGTTCAGGCCAGGACCTTCTTTGGGCCGACTACGGTCTCCTTGCACTACGACTGCCTTGCGGCAGGACTACCGGCAAAAGGAGAGTGGCCCAGCACGACGGACTTCTCCGGACGACTGCGAGATCTGCAAAGATGGGCCGACAGCTTGCTACCTTCCCCGATCTGCTACCAGCACGTCAAAGCGCATATCGGTGAGCCTTTCAATGAAATGGCAGATTCGATAGCCAAAGCAGCGGCGATGGGAGCAACATACGCTGCGCCTCCTTACTATGTGGCGCGGAAACTACTGGAAGAAGATTTCTCATGGGTTTCCATTGTGAACTCACTGCCAGGTGCGGCAGCCTATCCCTGGGCAGAAGGACCCTCTCTGAGCTGGCGTCAAGAAGAGCACGATTGGGCCACTACACTGTCTCCACATCAGCTTATCCCCACTACCTGCACGACCTACGGCAAGAGTGAGGAAGCTGCCGTTGAGTTTGAGACGGTTGTGGTGACATGGAATGTGCAAGGCATCGGAGGCCAACACAGATACATTGAGGAGCAGCTCCAGCACCTCCAGTGTGGCATCGCCCTGCTCCAGGAGACCAAGCACCCGTCGAGTCTGTGCTCCTCTTCCAGATTCCTCCGATTGTCCACCCAGGCGGACAAGCACTGGGGAGTGGCTATATGGCTGAGCAACACTTGCGGAGCTCTGCGGGTAGCTGGCAAGCCAATCAAGGTCAGGGAGACTGACCTCTATGTCTGCTACGAATCCCCGAGGCTGCTCATACTCTCCATTGCAATTGGGAGTACGAAGATCATTGTCTTCTCGGCCCACTGTCCTCACAGTGGCAACAGGGAGGAAGCCCGGCAGTTTCTCCTTCGCCTTCAGGAGGAGTTGCGACCCTACAAGCGGCAAGCCCTTATCATCGGTGGGGTTGACCTCAACGGCAGGATCGAGACCAACGTCCCAGGTGCTACGGGTGATCTACAGCATGGGGAGCCGGATGCCACAGGAGTCGAGGCAGCTGCCCTCTGTCGAGACCTAGGTCTTTGGGTGCCCACTACTTACAGTCGGTACCATCGTGGGCAATCGGCAACTTACCGTCACCCTCAAGCCACGGAGCACAGGATCGACTACGTTCTACAAGGCGGTACAGCGGAGATCCACGAGGCAGGCACTGCTGTGCTCCAAGATCTTGATGCTGGTGGTGCTGGAGATGACCACTGGCCTGTATCTGCACGACTCAGAGGCCGCCTGCAGCCAATTCAGAGTACAAGGCGCCTGTGGAGGCCCAAGTTTGATGTGGCTAAGATGCTGACGGTGACAGGAAGGGAGATCATAGCGCAGGCCATGAACACCTACAGCCCGCCACCGTGGACGACCCACCCGGATCAGCACTGCCAACACCTCAATGAGTTCATCCACAGCATCCTCGCCAGACATTTTGTCAAAGATGTGGAAGGGCCGAGGGCCTCCTACATAACTGAGGAAATGTGGAAGCTGCGGCTAAAGAAGATGAACTTCAAGAAGAGGGTACGCCACCGGGTTACCCTATGGAAAGACTTGCTCCACAGGGCGTTGCTGCAGTGGAGGGAGCGCAGCGATTATGGTCTTGAGGTCCTGCTGGCCAAACAGGGCCTCCTCTACCAGCTGGCCTCGGTGACCATTCAATTCGTCACCAGGGCGCTCAAGAAAAATATCCGGCAGGCCAAGGAGAACTTCTTGCGAACTGTAGCAGCTGAAGGTGGGGGCACTGCTGCAGACATACTTGGCCGGATAAAGCGAGCTGGGATTGGAGGCAGCAAGTCGAGGCAGCCCTTCAAGCCCCTCCCGCTACTCTATGCGGAGGAGGAACAACCAGTGCGGTCATGTGAGGATCGAGACTCCCTTTGGCTACACTACTTCGGGGAGCAGGAAATGGGCACCATCCTGGACACGGCGGATTTTCTACGAGAGCCCTACAAGCCGATTCTGGTTGATGAGACGGTCGACTGGAACCTTCAGGTCCTGCCCAGCCTCGGCGAGATAGAGCAGACCCTGAGAGGTCTTTCCCTACGGAAGGCCTCGGGCCTTGATGCCATCCCTGCGGAGTTCCTCAAGGCGGCCCCGGGGCCAACCGCTGCGGCGGTGCATAGCCTGTTCTTCAAAGCTATGGCCACATTCCAGCAACCCCTCCATTGGAGGGGGGGGATCTTCTATGAGTGCTGGAAAAGATCAGGCAAACAATCGGACCCGGCCATGTACCGATCTTTGTTTGTCAGTTCCATGATGGGCAAGACCTACCACAAGCTGCTTCGCCAGAAGGTCCAGGCTGAGGTCAACAACAGCCTGCACAGCTTTCATTTGGGGCACCCCGGTCTGCATGCCCTCCCTATACATCCTGACACACATCAGGAAGACGGCGGCACGGGGACTTTCCTCCTCAGTCCTGTTCCTCGATACACACGCCGCCTACTACAGAATCATCAGACAGCTCGCGCTTGGACACTTACATAACGACTCGGAGGTCCTGACGGTCTTCCGACGTTTTGGTCTGGAACCCAGCGACGTACATGATCTGATGGAGCAGATCCAGATGGGGGGCATGCTCAAAGATGCCAGGATCCCCTCCGCGGTGCGACACGCGGCAAAGGACCTGCACCACAGAGCTTGGTTTGTCTCTGCCCATAGCTCTGGTGCACAACTCTGCTGCACGACAGCAGGCAGTCGGCCAGGAGAAGCGTGGGCGGACATTGTGTATGCCTTCGTTTACTCCCGCGTCCTGTACCGCATCGAGGAGTATGCGAGGGGCGAGGGTTTGTTGGACACGATATATGTCGATGTCTCGGAGGGCCCCTTTGCGGAAGCCGGTTGCGGCACTCCTTCGGAGGGAGGCGATGCCACGTGGGCTGACGACTCCGCATGGCCAATCTCTGGGGAAACCCCTTCGGGTCTTCTCCGCAAGACGTCCCGACTCTGCTCGCTTGTCCTCAGCAGCTGCTACCAGCATGGCATGCAGCCAAATCTTCGGCCCAACAAGACGTCCGTTATCTTTGCCCTGCGAGGCAAGGGCCGAGTAGGGGCAAGACAGAAGTTTTTTGGACAGGGCAAGCCGGTGCTGAGGCTCCATGATCTCGAGAAGGAGATCCCAGTCGCGCTGCAGTACAAGCACCTGGGGGGCCTTGTTGACTGCCGCAACCTCATGGCCCCAGAAGCAAAAAGAAGGCTGGCAATGGCGGCGGCTGCCTTTGACCAGGCCAAGGAGATGCTGTACCTGAACGATAAGATCGGCCTACCGGTCCGTGCGGCACTCTTTGCTGCCACTGTTGGGGCTACTTTCCACAACCTTGCCCAATGGATACCCAACGGCCAGGACTGGGCTATACTCTCCGGAGGATACTCACGACTCCTCCGTCGGCTCCTCACTAAGGATTTTCCGGGCGAAGCTCTCTTACATGTTCCCCCAGCTTTGGTGCACATCCTTACTGGATCATGGCCGCTGGAGCTTGTGGCCAAACGGGCGAGGCTTAGCCTGCTTAGGTCCTTGGCGAGAGCGGCGCCTGACCTTTTATGGGGCGCGCTCCAAGAGGAGCAGTCCTGGCTTCGAGTGGTCAGGGAAGACCTACAATGGTTGGTCCAAAAGAATGGGGACGAATGGCCGGCGCTTCGGCCGGCTTCATGGCCAGAGTGGAGGAGCCTGTTCTTGCGTGCGGCGAGCTGGATCAAAAGGAGGACGGGCACAAGGCTCAAGGCGGAGTTCAAGGACCTCTGCGAGCGCTACAAGGTGTCCCTGACCATCTGGGCGGTCTACAAGCGGATTGAAAACCACATCCCGGGTTGCAGCGAGGCCCCCACGAGATGGATTTGCCGCCCATGCCAACGCTCGTTCAAAACAAAAGGAGGACTCGGAGCCCATTTCTTTAAAACCCACAAGAGATGTGCGGGATACAGGGCAGTGGTCGAGGGGACGACCTGTCAAGCTTGCGGAAAAACTTACTGGTCTACCAATCGTCTACTACGGCACCTACGTGACTCACGGAGGTGTGTTGCCACCCTTCGTAGCCATGGACTTCTGGCCCGGAGCCATGTACCGGGCTTCGGCAGCAAACTCTGGAAGAAGACAGAGATAGAGGGCTTCAATCCGAGTGTGCCCAAAGAAGTATCTGCCCCACTTCAGCCCGGCGAGGGCTCAGAGTGGGACCCGGTCCAAAAAGCAGCGCACGCGGAGCTCTGCAATGTCCTGCTCGACAGGCAGATACCTGCGGATGCTGCAGGAATCCTCGGCCTGATCAGGTTGACCATCAGTAAGTTCCCCCTCTACCAGGACGAGATCGACGACATCGTTGACTTTGTCCGGACCGAAGCCCAGGAGATCGGGCAGGAACTCATGGCCGAGTTCTGGTCGGAGGAGCTTGCAGTTGCAATGGCTGAAGCGTTCAGCACTTTTCTTTCATGCGAGTGGCCTGTGGCAGAGCAGCCAATGGCCGACCCCCAAGTCGGCATGACCCACTGGGACATCGCCGCCCACATGAACGAGGTTCATTGGGAATCTATCTGGCTGGCGGCCACAGGTGTTCACGGGACCCCTTCAAGCTGCACCTTTGAGCTGAGCCCCTGCTGGGAAACCGAGTGGCGGGGTTTGAGCGGCGTAGCTACTGTCTCGGTCGTGAACAGTCACCTGTGGAGCTGGCTGCCAGAAGCTCTGCGCCAAGTTGTACAGGCGGCCCTAGAAGGGCATCGTCCACGCTTGAAGGCGCCACGCTCATTCTGGCAGCACCAGATTTCAGTGCCGTTCCGGCGCTTTGCACAGCATGCAAGTAATTAGGTCGCGCACTCCACTGACGACACGCAAAGTGCAAAATGTATGTATGTCTGTAATGTCTGTAATGTATGCATGTATGTATGTATGTATGTACGTATGTGTATGTATGCATGTACGTATGCATGTATGTATGTATGTATGTATGTATGTATGTATGTATGAGACTAAATATGTATGTATATATATATATATGTATACTCACGCATACATCGACATGTTTTTCATTACAGCTTCACTGCAATTTACATTATGCCTACAATACAGTTACACTGCGTAGACAATACCTTTAAAATACCTTCACTACAGTTACATTACATGCACGTTACATGTACATTGCATTTGCATTACTTGTGCATTGCATTTATCTTACACTTGCATTACATTCGCATTACATTTACATTACATGGTCATTACATGTACATTACATGTGCATATACCTTACGTCCTCCTTTACATTACAATTACCGTCGCATGTACATTACATGTAGGTTACATTCACATTACATTTACATTGCATGTAGATTACATTTACATTACAATTACATGACGTCTACATCCGATATACATTACATGCATGCACGCATGCATGCACGCATGCCTGCATGCGTGCACGCGTGCAACAAAACATACACACATACAGACTCTCCCTCTCACACACACAGTACACACGTGTATGAAGCAGCACATGCGAACACATACGATGTCTGCAAGGATGAAATCCGAATGTAAGTTTCCTCACTCGGGACTGCTCGAGTCTAGCAGAACTTGTCAGGATCTATTCGTAAGGTTACAAAGGCAACTATGACCAGGGGCTTTCAGTGGAAGTTTAGTGTATTGGGTTTTCCGGATTCTGGGAGTGACTGGCGGCCCGAATGTCCCCAGGATGGCCAATTCCCCTATGGTCACTAGGTATATGGGTTTAGGGTTTAAGGTTTAGGGTTTAAGGTTTAGGGTTTAAGGTTTGGGGTTTAGGGTTTAGGGTTTGAGGTTTAGGGTTTAGGGTTTAGGGTGGGTAGCTTCCTACTCTAGGGTCCCTAGCCTCTATCTAAGTTCGGAAGCTATCGCCAGGCTTCTGAAAAGGAGCCCCAGCTTTTGGGGAGCTTTTGAAACCAGACCATTCAGTTCCTGACGAGCCACGCTCGCCCTGAGCATCGAGCATTTTAGCATGAAGGGCTCATGCAAAGTTTCCTCATTGAGGCCTTGGTTAGGGTTAGAAAGCCACGGAATAAGTAGCAACCATGCTTAAAGGATCATGGGACTTAGTAAGTAGGGTTATAATTAGGGTAACTATACTTATAACCCCAATCAAGGGGCTTATAACCTTACTTACTAAGTCCCATGATCCTCCAAGTAGACTGATCTGAAGGGTTTAGGGTTCAAGGTTCAGGGTTTATGGTTCAGGGTCTAGGGTTTATGGTTCAGGGTGTGGGGTTTAGGGTTAAAGGTTTAGGGTTCAGGGTTTAGGGTTCAGGGTTTAGGGTTTATGGTTCAGGGTGTGGGATTTAGGGTTTAAGGTTTAGGGTTCAGGGTTTATGGTTCAGTGTTTAGTGTTTAAGGTTTAGGGGTTTAGGGTTTTGGGGTTTAGGGGTTTTGGGGTTCTGGGTCTAGGGGTCGCAGAGTTTCAAGACTTTTCGGCATGGAGGTTTGGGGACTTGATACAGGTTGTTACAGGAGGGGGTTTCGTGTTTTGGGGTGCGTCCTGATTTAGAAGCTTCAACAGCTACCAATACTATTCCTGCGGGTTCCGAATACAGACAAGAATACAATTTATCCCATGACTTGTGTCGTTCGGTTATAGACATAGGGGTAGTTGTCTAAATGAGAGTCCCCTTTTTTAGTACGGCACCCTTATGACAAGAACCCAGAAAGGGACCCTAATTTAGAAAACTACCAAACCCTAAACCCTAAACCCTAAACCCTAAACCCGAGACCCTAAACCCTAAAACCCTAAACCCTAAATCCTAAACCCTAAAACCCTAAACCGTACCCATAGAACTTCAGCCCGTGCGCGGGAAGAAGTCCGACACTGCGCACATCCCGGACTCCGCACCCCGATATTCCTTCACTTTAAAGGGTTTTAGGGTTTTAGGGTTTTAGGGTTTCAGGCTTTCGGGTTTTAGGGTTTCGGGTTTTAGGGTTTTAGGGTTTTAGGGTTTAGGGGTTAGGGTTTTAGGGTTCTAGGGGGGTGGGGTTTAGGGTTTAACCTTAAGCTGAAGCGTCGTTTCGTGTTTACTCACACGAAGGCCTCACCGAGCCCAAGTGAGCCTAAATCGCTTAAACTCTAAACCGTCAACACCAAGGCAGAGTGGCACCGGAGGAGCAACTCGCCTTATATATATGTATATATATATATATATATGTGGTAACCCTTATGCCGGGTCGTGCCATGCTATGCCATGCCATGCCACGCTGTGCTAGGTAACACCGTGCTATGCACTGCTGTGCCGCCATGCAACACCATATGAAAGGGCCTCCGAATTTCATGGGCTCCTGAAGTACTTGGAGGTTCATGGGTAGCTACAAGTAGGGTTATAAGTCCCCTTATATGGGTCATAAGTTATTGTTACCCTAAACCCTAAACCCTAAACCCTAAACCCTGAACCCTGAACCCTAAACCCTAAACCCTAAACCCTAAACCCCCCTACGTACGAACCTCCTGAAGTATTGATGCCAAGCCGACATCCCCTCACCTAAACCCCACATCTCCGGGAATCTAGCACTACTGCATGCAGCTTCAGAGCGTTATCCGGCTTTCCGGGTTGTACTGAAGGAGCCTAAATGATCACCTATACTATTTGGGTTCTTTTTTTTAATATGGCTATAGTGTCCTGGACCCCTAAAGCCTGTTCTAATTCTTAAATCATGGGACTTAGTAAGTAAGGTTGTAAGTCCCCTAATTGGGGTTATAAGTATAGTTACCTTAGTTATAACCCTACTTACTAAGTCCCATGATCCTTTAAGCAAGCCTGCCTTCATCATTACCTATACTATCGTGGGTTCTTTGTTTTAAATATAGTTATAGTGTCCTGGACCCCAAAGCCCTTTTGAAACTCTTAAGGCCCCTATATTATGCCCAGAGCCCGGCCGAAGAACTAACCCTACGCCCTAAGCCCTAAAGCCTAAACCCTACTAAACCCTAAACCCTAAACCGTGTATTAGGCCCAGAGCCCGACCGAGGATTTGTCACTTGTGTGGGGTCACGAGTTTGAGAGTCTCGCTGGCCCTGCCCCCCGACATCACCACAGCGCGGTCTGGTCGTCCCTCTCAAACGCTGACGTGCAACCAGGGTGGCTCGGCCCGAGAGCGCGCGCGGGGGAATTGGGGCGTTTTGGGGGCTTGGGGGTTTTTAGGGAGTTAGGGTTTGGGAGGTTTAGGGTTAAGGGATTTCGGGTGCAGTAGGGCTTCTTTATCAGGGTTTTTCTGTGACGCATGGCCAGTGCAAAATGCTACTTGTTTTTTTCCTACCAGCGTTCTGGGTCACATGTCTCATCGACATACAAGAAAACTCTGAAGGAATCCTTCAAGGAACCCTCAAACCCTTAACCCTTAACCCTGACCCTAAGCCCTAAACTCCAAATCCTAGACTAAACCCTCCGCCCTTTGACAAACCCTTGTAGCAATTGTTTGAGAAGCTCGAGGATGATTGTGTACGGCGGCCGTGACCAAAGCGGGAATCCGGTGCAGGACCTTTGGTACTTTGGGCAGGCCACCTGCATTTTCCCGGTTCGGGGTTAAACCCTGAACCCTAAAAACTAAACATTGCACTAAGGTTTAGGCGTTGCAAAGACCTCGGGTTCTTTGGTCGGGCTGTCTGCAAATTTTCTGGGCGAAGGCTCCGGGTATGGGGTTTAGGCCTTCGGGTTTAGGGAGGAGGGCCAGGATTTAGGGTGTAGGGCTCAGGACGGTTTGGGGTGTTGTTGGTTTTAATAGAGTGTGACGTTTGGGGCTGCAGGTTGTGAGCTATTAAGCAAAACTGTATCGCAGGTGCAGTCGACTTCCATAGAGCGCCTCAGCCAGAGTAGGGTTTTCAGGTTCAGGGTTTAGGAGGCTTAGGGTTTAGGGTTTAAGCTTCGAAGTTCCTGACCTCTGAACGCGACTTGGGCGGTGTCAAACCTAACAGTGTAAGATACTTGGGGAAAGGGTTCCTTTTCATACGTGTAACACAATATACCCCAAAGCCTTATTCCAATTGTTAAGGCCCTTGTATTCACAGTTATATGAAGTTCGTAAGCTCATAACCCCTATTAAGTAAGCCCTACAGAACCCTCATAAAAACCCGTTGACAAGCACGCATTCCAATTATGAGGCCTTTTAAGGTTTTGGGGTTCAGGGTTCCTTTGCGAATTCTTTTACCGGCTCTACAAGGGTTACTATCAAGGTTGCTGCAGAGGTTCTAGCACGGCTTGCGGTTTAGGGTGGAATTCTTGGCTCCCCCTTGAGATCTAAACTGCTCCTTCCAACTCCTACACCCACATGTTCTAGACCCACTCTCTTTTCCTGAATCTCTAAGCCGTAAGCCGGGACCCCCCTCCACCTAGCTGGAGGGCCTTCACGATCCGCAGACTTTGCGTAAGTTAGAGCTGTGATTCCCAAACTCAGAATCTACTTTTCAGGGTTTAGGGTCTACTCAGCTCTGCCCTCTTGCAGCAATCGAGCTTCAGCTTTAGCTTGATTTGTTGTTGAGGGTTTAGGGTTTAGGGTTTGGGGTTTTTGATACCTGAACTTTAGGGTTTGGGGTTTTTGATACCTGAACTTTAGGGTTTGGGGTTTTTGATACCTGAACTTTAGGGTTTGGGGTTTTTGATACCTGAACTTAAACCGACACCTCTGCTTGAGGCGCACGCCCGCAACGCTTGACCCCAGGCCCCCGCTTCCCACATCCCAGGACCCCCCGAGCTTCAGACCAAACCCCACATAGACGGTTTAGGGTTTAGGGTTTAGGGTTTAGGGTTTAGGGTTTAGGGTTTAGGGTTTAGGGTTTAGGGTTTAGGGTATAGAATTCT